GTATGTGTATATGTATGTGTATGTATATGTATGTGTATATGTATATGTATATGTGTATGTATATGCATGTATGTATGTATGTATGCATGTATGCATGTATGCATGCATGCATGCATGCATGTATGTGTATGTATGTATGTATGTATGTATGTATGTATGTATGTATGTATGTATGTAGATGTGTATATATATATATGTATATATATATATATTGGCATCGATCCCCCCAAACAGTGCTTGTACTTAACAGTTCTGATCTGTTGTCTAAGGAATGGGCCTGGCTGTCGGTCTGGCGGCTCCGTGGTCGCCGCCGCCGCCCCGTCGCCGCCTCCTCGCCGCCCGTTGTCTGTGCCTGGCTGCCAGTCTGACTGCTCCGTGGTCGCCGTCGCCGCCGCGTCGCCGCCTAGATTGTGCCATATAGATTGCACCACATATATTCCAGAGCATCGATTGCACAACATAGATTGCGCCAAATATATTGCACCACAGCTTTTGCGCAACATATTATGCATGACGTAGGCTGCACAACATATTTGTTGTTCCTTCTAAAAGGGATTTGCATCTACCACCCACCCCGGGATTACTGTTCCCCCTGCGGATGAGCAATTTACATATGATTCTGCCCCAGGTTTCATGCTAAATCTGCATCCGTCGCATCCAAACCAAGCAAGTATCGACCCCCCCTCTCACTCCTGACAAATATAATGCTATGCGCGCGCGCTCGCTCATCGAAAGCCATCAGCTTGCAATAATCCCTTGCAAACGAATGCATGAAGTGCACACGCGCGCGTCGTCGCGCGCGCATGCCGAGATCATTCAAAACCCCCCAGGTTGCGTAGGAATTTCGAAGTCGAGTGTCCCAGAAAACATGGCCTTGCAACGTGATGTTCAAACAGAAGGTCTGCGTGCGCGATCTTGCGAATTCTTTAAACAAAGCGAGGGTTTTTCCCCACACGGTTCGTGTGATTATGGTTTTCTTCCCACCCACGTCGCAACCGCGTCTTCCTCACACCTCCCTCCTCCCTCCTCCCTCTCTTCCTCTTCCGTTCTCCCTCCACCCAAACAGCCGCACGCAGGCACACACACACACGCTCACACTCACACACTCACACACTCACACACTCGCACACTCGCACACTCGCACACTCACACTCTCACACACACTCACACACACACACGCACGCACGCACGTATGTACACACAACACAAACACATAACACAAACACACACACACACATCACAACACACACAACACACACAACACACAACACACACTGCACACACAACACACAACACACATACACACAACACACAACACACACACAACACACACACACACTATACAACGCTAGTGCACGCCTGGCGCGTGCACTGCATCATACATCCAAGACGTATGCACAACATACTGGGCACCCATATGAGACACACTTCCCGATACAGCCTTGCACCCAGTACGTGTTGTTCCCCATATAACATGGATTTGGTGGGATTCTGGTTTTCTTCCCCACATGTTACGTGGGGTTCTGGTTTTCTCCTTGCCACGACGCGCCCGCGTCTCACTCACCTCCCCTCCTCCTCCTTCCTCCCTCACCCACGCGCAACACATGCACGGCATGTACATGAGACACACGTGTAAATACAGCCCTCGCATATACACTCGCATACACACCATACAACGCCAGTGCGCGCCCGGCGTGTTCACTGCATCATGCACCCAAGACGTATGCACAACATATTGGGCACCCACATGAGACACACGTCCAATTCCAGCCTGCCACCTAGTACGTGTTGTTCCCCACATGCTTAGTGGGGTTTTTGCTCCCCACATGTTTAGTGGGGTTCTCGACACCAGAGGGGGTGCGCAGGGGGTGGTCCCTCACCGCGGTCTCTATCCGTCCCAGGGTCGCGGGGCGTGGGAGGCGTGGCACTATCTCGACATCAGAGGGGGTGCGCAGTGGGTGGTCCCTCAACGCGGTCTCTATCCGTCCCAGGGTCGTGGGGCGTGGCAGGCGTGGTATTTTTTCGACACCAGAGGGGGTGCGCAGGGGGTGGTCCCTCACCGCGGTCTCTATCCGTCCCAGGGTCGCGGGGCGTGGCAGGCGTGGCACTTTCTCGACACCAGAGGGGGTGTGCGCAGGGCCCCGGGTGGTCCCATTCAGTCCGGGTCTCTACCGTCCAGGGTCGCGGGGCGTGGCGTGGGAAGGCGTGGCACTATCTCGACACCAGAGGGGAGTGCGCAGTGGGTGGTCACTCACCGCGTGTCTCTGTCCGTCCCAGGGTCGCGGGGCGTGGGAGGGTGGCACTATCTCGACACCAGAGGGGTGCGCAGTGGGTTGGTCCCTCACCGCGGTCTCTGTCCGTCCCAGCGTGGCAGGCGTGGCACTTTCTCGACACCAGAGGGGGTGCGCAGGGGGTGGTCCCTCACCGCGGTCTCTATCTGTCCCAGGGTCGCGGGGCGTGGCAGGCGTGGCACTTTCTCGACACCAGAGGGGGTTCGCAGGGGGTGGTCCCTCACCGCGGTCTCTATCCGTCCCAGGGTTGCGGGGCGTGGCAGGCGTGGCACTTTCTCGACACCACAGGGGGTGCACAGGGGGTGGTCCCTCACCGCGGTCTCTATCCGTCCCAGGGTCGCGGGGCGTGGCAGGCGTGGTATTTTCTCGACACCAGAGGGGGTGCGCAGGGGGTGGTCCCTCACCGCGGTCTCTATCCGTCCCAGGGTCGCGGGGCGTGGCAGGCGTAGCAATTTCTCGACGCCACGGGGGGGTGCGCATGGGGGCAGGTGTCGCCGTTGCATTCCATCAGTTGCCCTTGCAGGGGTTTGCGCAGCATCTAGATCTGTAAGCACGTTGGCTCAAGCCGGCTCGGAGCGTCAGGGTACCCAATCGAAGGTTGCAGTTGCTTTTGTTTGGTGCGCACGTACCATAAGATAGGTATGTGGGGTTCCTCGGTAGTGTGATTCTTCATTTTCATCAGGTGCGACCAAGTGGGCCTCTCGCGTGCTCCCGACTCCTCATCTCTCCTCCCCACTCCTCTCTCCTCCTCCCTCCCCCTCCTTCCTCCTCCTCCTCCTCCTCCTCCTCCTCATCATCACCATCATCATCATCATCACAATCATCATTCCCCCCTCCTCGTCATCCTCCTCGGGAAGGCGTCCGAGGTAGCAGGAAAAACTCGAGATCCGACGTAGTACCTTGTAGAGCTCTTCGGCAACGATGAGCTAGAGGAATTCCGGCGCGGGGTGGAGCTAGTTCATGAAAGCCGCGGTTCGGTCCGGTCCGGTTCGGTTCGATGTGCGACCGGTTCGGTTCGACCGGTTCCGGTTCGCGTCGCAAACCGGTTCGGTTCGACCGGTTCGGTTCTTTGTCGTAGACCGGTTCGGTTCGACCGGTTCGGTTCGGCCGGTTCGGTTCTACCGGTTCGGTTTTATGTGTTCCGACCGGTCCGGTTCGGCCGGTTCGGTTCGGTTGGTTCGGCCGGCTTCGCATGCAGAGGCGATTTCAGTCAGCCCGATTTCGATTCGCTTCGATTCCAGGCCGTCCCGATCGGCAGCCCCGACGGGGATGGGGACAGTGGGGGCGAGGGAGGAGGAGGAGGAGGAAGAGGAGGAGGAGGAGGAGGAGGAGAAGAAGGAGGATGAGGAGGAGGAGGAGGAGGACGAGGACGAGGACGAGGACGAGGACGAGGACGAGGACGAGGACGAGGCCGGCCCGTTCGGCGTCTCGCGCGCTGCCCCAGCGGGGCCGCTGCAACGGCCGAGGTGCCGCCGCTGGCCGCCGCTGGCCGCTGGCCGCCGCTGGCCGCTGGCCGCCGCTGGCCGCCGCTGCACCTCCTCCTCCTCCGCCTCCTCCTCCTCCTACTCGTCCTCCTCCTCCTACATCCTCCTACTTGCGTCCTCCTCTCGCTCCTCCTCCTTCTCTCGTTGAGGCTGTCTCTGCAGACCGGCGGCCTAGACTGCTGGCAGAGCTCTCGGCGCTTGCACACCCGCCACCAAACGCGCCCGGCAAGATCGGAGAAGGGCGAGTTGAGACACTGGAACTCCAAATCTGCTCAAACTCGGTCTTCGGACCCCTCCCGGGGTCCAGACGCACCAGTTTTCCGAGCTGCGTCCAGCCGTGGCGACGAGGAGCTTCTCGAAGGCCAACTACCGGTGTCTCAAACGATGAAGAAAACGCAAGAAGATAATCGCGCTTCGCGCGTCGCGGCCTGGGCCGCAGAATTGCATGTCTCCAAGGAGGCCTCGCGAGGGCGCGAAGGTAACCGCGCGACCGCGACCGCGACCGCGACCGCGACCACGACCACGACCACGACCGCGAGCACCACGACGACGACGGACGGGGGACCACGACGACGGACGGGGGGGTGACGACGGACGGGGGGGGGGGTCCGGACCAGGGGCGGGGGGGTCCGGACCCAGGGGGTCCGGACCCAGGGGGTCCGGACCCAGGGGGTCCGGACCGGGGGGGTCCGGACCCAGGGGGGTCCGGACCCAGGGGGTCCGGACCCAGGGGGTCCGGACCCAGGGGGTCCGGACCCAGGGGGTCCGGACTGTGGGCTCCTCTTGGGGCTCTCTTGGGTCGGGGGGACGTGCGGTTGACTGCTGCTGGGGTGGTCCCTCGGGGCCCGGGTACCCCGGAGGCGGCCCCCTGCCCTCGCGCGGGGGGGCCGCCAAAGGGGCCCGCCTTCCAGCGGTCAGCCAGGTTCGCCCCCCCCAGGCGTTCAAGGTTGAAGCCTGGCGTCCGAGGTCTGGGTCTGGACCTCCACGGCTGAAAGTTCCGTAGCCATTTTGGTTCGAGAGCCGCTGTCGTCGAAGCTGTGTCGGCAGTAGTCCCCGGCTTCCTGGCTTCTGTGAGAGCTCCCCTTCCTGCGCCTTGGCTGCGATGCGTTCGGCGCGAGGGGCGCACCAGTTCCTCCACGAAAAACGTCCTCTGTCCAGCAACTATCGGTTCTGCAAGATCTGCTGGCCGGACGAACAACCTGTTGTGCTCAATGTGAAAACTCTCATGGACTCAGGCTTCATGCCGTCAATGGAATATGACGGGTGCGTGTGGCAGGAGAGCTCCACGGGCTCCATGCTGCGGCATCTGCGGCGTTTTCACGCCGACGAGATCCCGGAGAGTCTGCGCGAGCACCCCCGCGAGGAGGGTTGCGCCGTGCGGCGTGTGGACCACGACCTCACCCGGGAGTGGGCCGTCATCATGGTCATCAAAAACCTGATTCCCGTGCGTGTTGCAGACGACGCCCGGGACGGGATCACCCGCTTGAGCCAGCTCGGCGGCCGCTCTGTGATGACGCAGGAGGTCGGCCGCACCATCGACGGAATTGTTGCGGAGTCCAGGGCCGCTGTGCGGGCAGCTGCAGAGAAAGGATGTCGTTTTGCTATCGGATACGACAGCTGGAAGACAAAAGGTCTCTGTCCGAAACATTTCAACGCCATCATCGTCGACTGGTGCGACCTGGAATTCGAACGCCACTCGGTCGTCCTCGAGGTGTTCCACATGGTCGGCCGTAAGAATGCTGCCTCTTACAAGTCAATGTTGGAGAAAGCTCTGGCTGCTGCCGGCCTGACGCCAGACCACATCGTCTGCGGGCTGTCCGACCACGAAGCGGCCCCGCGAAAGGGCATTCGCGACTTGGGCTTGAACGCCCTTGGGTGCGGGTGCCATCTGATTCAGTTGGCGGGAAAGCACAGCGCCCCGCCAGCGAGGCCGAAAAAACGTCACGCCAAGGCGAGTTCTTCTTCAACGGAATCGAGTTCAGGTTCGACCAGCTCCACGTCTTCGTCATCGGCGGCCGCGGCCGCCCCCGCCGTGGCCGCACCCGCCGCCGCCGCGGCCGCACCCGCCGCCGCCGCGGCCGCGCCCGCCGCCGCCGCCGCGGGGGCTGCTGCCGGCAAGAGAAAAGCTGACCCCGCAATGTTGGCCATTCGCAAGGTCATGGAGCCTGTGTGTAAAAAAGCTCGTTCCATTGTGAAATACTACCACCGCAACGGCTCCGAGTACGACGCCTTGGTTTCAGACGCGGCGTCCCAGAACCCGCCCGTGCCGACTTGCGCATTCGCGCAAGAAGGCGAGACTCGCTTCTCCGGCACCCTGTTGTCCTGGGTCTCCCTGATCAAGAACGCCAGGGCTCACAACCTCACTCGCGGCCTCCACCCCAGGCGCTCTGCCCCGGAGCCCCTGGACGAGCCCAGCGTCAGGGAGCTCGTCGACATTTGTTGTGCCATGGGGCCGCTCCTGACGGCGACGCGCACCCTCGAGGGGGACGCCAACAAGGGCACCATTTCCTTGTTTCTCCCTGTTCTCCATCAGACGCGCGGGGCGTACGAACCCAGGGGGTCCGGACCGGGGGGGTCGTCGTCGGCGCCTTCCTCCGCCGCCGTCGTCGTCGCCTTCCTCCGCCGTCGTCGTCGCCTTCCTCCGCCGTCGTCGTCGTCGCCCCGCGCGCGCCCGCCAGCCAGGTGCTCGTCTTCATGGGTGTCTTCATGGGTCCTGGGGGTCCTGGGGTCCCGGGTCCTGGGGTCCTGGGAAGTCCAAGAGGATCCTGGATTCAGGTCCCGGGGTCTTTTGAGGTCCTGGGGTCCTGGGTTCAGGTCCTGGGTCCTGAGGTATTTTAAGGTTCGAGCGGGTCCTGGGGTCCTGACTCCGGTTCGGACGGTTCGGTTCCGCCGGTCCGGTCCGGTTCGGCCGGTTCGGTTCCGCCTGGTTGGCCGGTTCGGTTCGGCCGGTTCGGTTTCCGCCGGTTCGGTTCGGCCGGTTCGGTTCGCACAGCGGGCCGGTTCGGTTCGGCCGGTTCGGTTTGGCCGGCCGGTTCGGTTCGGCCGGTTCGGTTCCAGACCCGGTTCTCGGTTCTCGGTTCGGTTCGCGGCCATCATGCTAGTTGACCGACCCGGCCCGGGCGGACAACGTGGGCACTTGGGGTCGGTTTTCGGAAGATTTTGAAAGATTTAACCGTTCGTTTTAAGAAGCAATATTTTTCTCACGTGTCGTGAGTTATGCCGCGTCTGCCTGTCAAATTCTCAGGTCCGTAGCTGCAATATTATGATCAAAAGACGTAGGGGATCCGACTTCTTTTAAAACCCCAGACAATACATTCTGCGAGTTTTCAAGCTGACATTCAAAGAAGCTTCCTTCTCGCAATCTGAGCACTGATTCGCGTGTTAAGAACTCTACGAGGGTCCCGGCGGTAACCTGGTTGACGGTTTACCGTCGGCTCCCAGTATTTGCTCTTTTGTCAGTGAGGGGCCCCTGTAAGTCCCGACCCCTTCCCTGGAGCCGGCTTATCATCTCGTGCCGTTCTGTTGACGGTCTTGGGGCTGGGCGAGGGCCCCCACGGAGGGGCCGAAGGCGGCGAACAGTTTCGGTGTTGTCTTGTGTCAGTGCGTCGGAGCTCTGGACACGCGTGTGCGACCAATTGCGAGCTCTACCCTTGAGGGTCCAGCCGGCGCTGGGATATCGGACGCCCCCACTGGGTTCGCTTGGCTGCAGGCGCTTCCTGGAGTCCGAACCCCAGCCAGCGTTTCAGAAATCTGACCTGCAGGGCTGGGGTTCCCGTGCGGTCGCCTAACGTGACGCCGGGCCTGTCCTTCTACAGGAAGAATATTCAAACATTGAAAAATAGTCAGGGGACGTTTTTTTCCTTTCTTTTATATATATATATATATTGTGTTTTTCCTCCAACATATATATATATATATATACACACATAGACATATAAGGAAAAAATGATCATCCCAAATCCCCTTATTTTGAGTTTTCATCCAAAATCCCCCTGTAGGGGGACACGCCCGACCTAACTGCACGGCTGGGGTTCGCATGCGGCGGTGGCGGATACGTGGATGGGCCTCGGGTGGACAATGGCGCGTTCGTGGGCCACTGCAGCAGCGAGTTCACCACCATGGCGGTCGCGGAGGCCAGCTGCTCGGCGGACCCCGCCTGCCTGGCCCTGCACTCCTTCGACTGCCAGGACTGGGCGTGGCGCTACTGCACCGGCAGCTTTGCGGCCATGCAGGGATCGGGCGACGGCACCCACGCCTGTACTCGGACCTCGGAGGCGAAACCCACACCTCGAAGAAGAAACAACTGCACGAACATAAACTTTGTAAGCTCCGCGCGGATTTCTTGGATTTGCGCCGCTGGACCCCCCCCTGGCGGCGCCTCTGGCGCCGCCCCCAGCGCGATCCGCGCGCCAGAGAAGGGGACCTGAGCGCAGATCCAAGACACCCGCGCGGACCTTCGACAGTTTACGTCAATCTCCGTCACGGCCAGACTCGCCTCGGAGCCCTGGCCAGCGCGCCCCAGGCGAGGCCTGGGGCGAAGCGGCGTCGGCGCCCATGTGCCTCCCCAGGATCCACAGGGATTTCTTCACCACCACGGAGACCTCCACCACGGGGACCTCCACCGAGACCACGGCCATCACCTACGTGGAGGGCCCCCGGCTCGGCAACGGCGCCTGCAGCGTCGGCTGCAGCCGCGTGTTCAGCAGCCTGGCCCAGGTGAAGGTGGCTTGTCGTGCCGACGCCGCGTGCACGGGCTTGCTGTTCTCCTACGGCTGCCAGACCTGGGCGTGGTTTTACGCCACGCGCGACGTCCGCGACATGGTCGCTGACAGTCCCGGGTCAAACTCGTGCACGCTGGTGTTCGAGTCGCTGTTGCACGACCTCTCCTCCGGCACGTGGACAAGCTCCGAGACCATCACCAGAACGGAGACGATGACGGCAACCGCCACGTCCTTCTCGACGAGGAGCGCTTCCATGACGCTCACGTCCGAGTCCATCACTGCTAGCACCACCACGACGCCGACCACGGGCACTACGGTCACCAGCACGAGCCGCACCTCGCTGACGACCGCCAGCGCAACAATCGTCACGACGACGAGTGTCTCGAGGACCTCGAGCTCGTCGACCACCACTTCGGCGACGAGCGGGAGCAGCACCAGCAGCGCCACAGCGACAACTACCAGCTATACCTCCGTCTCTACCGCGACAACCCCCACCAGGACCAGCGTCACAGCAACGGCGACGACGAGCACGAGCTCAACGAGCGCAAGCAGCACCACGGGGAGCAGCTCAGGCACCAGCAGCGCCACGACGACGAGTGCCAGCGAGACCGCCAGCTCTACTGCGACAAGCCCCACTGTGACCAGTGCCACAGTCACGGCGACGACGAGCACAAGTGCTACGACCGCAAGTGACACCACGCCGAGCAGCACAGGAACTGCAAGCACGCAGACCGCCACGAGGACCAGCCGTACGTCGACGACGAGCTGGAGCAGTAGCACTACCGCCACCGCCACGTCCTTGTCGACGTCGTCCCTGACATGGACGACCACGACCCACGCTACCCAGACTGGTACCCCTTTCACCACCAGCCGAACCAGCAGTGCCACTCGCACCAGCAGCTCCACACTCGTGACTGCCAGCCAGACCAGCACGGCGACGCTGACACAGACGAGCGCCACACGGACGAGTGAGACCACGACCAAGACCCAGACCAGCGCCACCCAGACGAGCCAGAGCCAGACCACCACGAGCTGGAGCCTGACGAGCACCACTCGCACAAGCGCGACGGAGACGAGCGTGACCTTCACGCTGACGCGCACGAGCGCCACTCGAACCTCCACGGCGTCGCTCACTCGCACGAGCAGCTCGGAGACGAGCGGATCCATCACCTCCTCGCTCACAGGCTCAACCCAGACCAGCTCGACCCGGACCAGCTCGACCCTGACCAGCTCGACCCGGACCAGCTCGACCCAGATCAGCTCGACCCAGATCAGCTCGACCCAGACCAGCTCGACACTCACCAGTACCAGCACGGCATCACAGATCACCCTGACGTCAGCCACGGCAACCAGCAGCACATTCTGGTTCGAGCCGAACGGAGACTCTGTTGAAGGCAGCCTGATGCTGACTGTCGAGAGCGCCGCTGCTTTTGCGGAGAGCAAGCTCGTGAAGGTCACCCTTGAGGGTCTGATCGCAAGCGTCGCTGGGGTGCACCACACTCAGGTGACAGTGGAGGTGGGCCTGGAGACGCAGCAGCGCATCCTCACAGGAAGGTCGCTGGGGGACGCCGTCGTGGCACTGTACACGATCCTGCTTGGGGCCGAGCAGAACTCGACGTCCATCGGCAGCGCCCTCTGGAGCGCAAACACGACCGCCATGACTGGTGCCCTGCAGCAGCGGCTGCAGGACGACGGCTCTGGCGACGCCTTCGGTGCCGTCGAGGTGGCGGGCTTCACGGTAGACGGTGCCTCCACGACCACCGGCGCAGCCGCCTGGGAGGAGGAAGAGGACCAGCAGGAGAGCCTGCTCGGCCCGGTGGTGGTGTTGATCACCGGGGTGCTCGTGGGCAGGAAACCACGTTCAGTAGCATTTAACCGACCCCCATCCCCATCCTCAGCCACTTCGAGACCCCCACCAAATGACCACCCCAGTTGGGGATACAACGCTCGAAACCCGAAGGGAACGACCTATATCCCCATCTAGGTGGGTAAATCGGCCAGCGGGGCCCAGGCCAGGCCGCTGGGGATGGGGATCGGTTAAACGATGCTCGCAATCCGTATCCACGGCCTCGCTGCCTGGATGCCTCGGCCGCGACCCCAGGGGAAGCTCGGGGCGGCTTTCGGCTGCCCCGCGCGGAACGTGTCCACGGGGTCGCGCATCCATGGGATCGCGTCTCTCTTAGAAGAAAAAACCACATAAACATAAACTTTTTGCGCTCCGCGCGGGTTTCTTGGATCCGCGCTGAGGCCCCCCTGGCGGCGCCTCCGGCGCCGCCCCTGGCGCGCTCCGCGAGCCAGGGAGGGGGGGTCTGGCGCGGATCCAAGAAATCCGCGCGGAGCGCCAAAAGTTTGTGTTTATGTGGTTTTTTCGTCTTCTAGTCTCGGTGTCCAGACCGCGACGGCATGGATGTGTATATCCGGAGGTCCGACGTCGCAACTGCAATCAGTGACCCCAACTTTCCGCGGCGTCTCTCGAGCCGGGTCGATCTGTGAGGGTCCTGGGTTAAGTCGGGCCTGTCCCTCTACAGGAGGAACATTCAAGAATAGTCACACAAATAGTCTGGGGACGATTTTTCGGACTATTGTAGGGTTATTTTTAGAGTATTTCGAATTTTTCTTACAGAATCCGCCTGTAGGGGGACTTGCCCGATCTAAGTCTTGGGACCTGAGTCGGGGCGGATACCCTGAGATCCGACGTCGCAAAGCATTGAAACAACTGCACTCCGTGGCCCCAACTCTCCGCGGCAGCCCTCTAGCTGGATCGATATCCGCGAGGGCCCTGGGGACCGAATGTCGGAGCGAGAGCGCCTGGCGGGAGATAAGTGTTAAGTAAGTCGGGCTTGTCCCTCTACAGGGGGAAAATTCAAAAATGGTAGAAAAATAGTATGGGGACGATTTGTGCACTATTTCTGGTCAGTTTTGGATTCTTCATTGAGTATTTCCCAACCATCCTGTGGTGTTGGGTCCTCGTTTCGAAGAGACGGTGCGGCGCGTCTCCTCCTTCCTCCTCCTCCTCCTCTCCTCCTCTCCCTCCTCCCTCCTCCCTGCGTTTCACCCAGTACAGCGTTTCGTGGCCCCATAGGGAGCTCCAACTACGGTCACAGTGGCGGAACTCGCATGGCGGCCTCGGGCCATTTTGGCACACCCCTCACACGTTTCGTGGCCCCATAGGAGCTCAACCTAAGGTCCCAGTGGCGGAACGCGCATGCGGTACCCACACCCATTTTGGCACACCCCTCACACGTTTCGTGGCCCCATAGGGAGCCTTATTTTTTTTTTTATTTTTTATCTACTTGTTTTTTCTCTTGTCACCGGTAAACCCCGTTCCTAGTTGGCTTGAACACCCGCATGCTTTACCCACACCCATTGGGTACTCCTCAAGTCTCTAGTTGTTTTCAGTAAACGAGAGCACCATTCTATTCTGAATGGTTTATCACCATGTATATTGCGGTCAGTGCAGTGACTCGTTCTTCACACTATCGTGCATTTTCCACGATGTGTTACTTCTCAAAATCTTCCACATCTCCCCTCTTTCATCGACAGCGCTACTCACACTTTCTTGTTTTTTTTTGGCCGTGTCATATAGTATCGTCTAATCTCTAGGAGTTTTCGCCGAGGTGGTCGCGCTACAACTCATTACATCGGCACTGTACCCACATCACTTTTATAGCTACAGCTCACCGTCACACCGCTTAATTACCTTGCCTTCACCGCCGCCCCGCCACATACGTGCATTTGTCACAAACATATAACCGGTTGCCGTACCATCACGCTCGGCTTGCGTGTGTGCAAGCAACTCACGCCATGCACGTAATAACACTAACATAGACATCGTACAGTGTGTGTTGTATGTCACACATATGAGCCCCTCTGACGCGGTTTCGGGCAGACTAGATGTTAGTATACAAGGAGTCAAAACCTAATGTGGTGGAATGTGGTGGCACCAGCAGTCGCGGAAATCTCGTGCCGTAATTTTGCTCTCGGTCGGGGGTTTAAGACCCGTATGTTGGGCACACACGCGCTCACACCGATTGTCGTGTGGCCGTATAGGGGGGAGCGTGCAAGCTGTGTTCCCAGTTGCGGAACTCGCATGCGGTACCCACACCAATTTTTTGGCACACCCTCACACGTTTTCGGGTCCCATAGGGGAAGCTCCAACCGAAGGTTCGCAGTGGCGAACTCGCAGCGGAGACCACAACCATTTCGGCACACCCCTCACACGTTTCGTGGCCCCATCTGGAGCTCCACTTAAGGTCCCAGTGGCGGAACTCGCATGCGGTACCCACACCCATTTTGACACAGCCCTCACACGTTTCGTGGCCCCATAGGGAGCTCCACCCAAGGTCCCAGTGGCGGAACTCGCATGCGGTACCCACACCCATTTTGGCACACCCTTCACACGTTTCGTGGCCCCATCGGGAGCCCCACCGAAGGTCCCAGTGGCGGAACTCGCATGCGGTACCCACACCCATTTTGGCACACCCCTCGCACGTTCCGTGGCCCCATAGGGAGCTCTACCGAAGGTCCCAGTTGCGGAACTCGCATGCGGTACCCACACCCATTTTGGGAGACTCCTCGCACGTTTCGTGGCCCCAGAGGGAGCTCCACCTACGGTCCCAGTGGCGGAACTCGCATGCGGTACCCACACCCATTTTGGGAGACCCATCACACGTTCCGTGGCCCCATAGGGGGCTCCAGCTAAGGTCCGAGTGTCGGAACTCGCATGCGGTACCCACACTCATTTTGGGAGACCCATCGCACGTTTCGTGGCCCCATATGGAGCTCCACCTAAGGTCCCAGTGGCGGAACTCGCATGCGGTACCCACATTCGTTTTGGGAGACCCCTCACGCGTTTCGTGGCCCCATAGGGAACTCCACCTAAGGTCTCATTGGCGGAGCTCGCATGCGGTACCCACACCCATTTTGGGTGACCCCTCACACGTTTCGTGGCCCCATAGGGAGCTCCACTTAAGGTCCCAGTGGCGGAGCTCGCATGCGGTACCCACACCCAGTTTGGGAGACCCCTCGCACGTTTTGTGGCCCCATAGGGAGCTCCACCTAAGGTCCCAGTGGCGGAACTCGCATGCGGTACCCACATTCATTTTGGGAGACCCTTCACACGTTTCGTGGCCCCATAGGGGGCTCCACCTAAGGTCCCAGTGGCGGAACTCGCATGCGGTACCCACACCCATTTGGAAAAAACGTGCGCCACGAAAAACGTTTTCGTGGCCCCATAGGACTCCACCTAAGGTCCCAGTGGCGGAAACTCGCATGCGGTACCCACACCCATTTTGGCACACCCCTCACACGTTTTGTGGCCCCATAGGGAGCTCCACCTAAGGTCCCAGTGGCGGAACTCGCATGCGGTACCCACACCCATTTTGGCACACCCCTCACACGTTTCGTGGCCCCATAGGGAGCTCCACCGAAGGCCCCAGTGGCGGAACTCGCATGCGGTACCCACACCCATTTTGGCACACCCCTCACACGTTTCGTGGCCCCATAGGAAGTTCCACCTATGGTCCCAGTGGCGGAACTCGCATGCGGTACCCACACCCATTTTGGCACACCCCTCACACGTTTCGTGGCCCCATAGGGAGCTCCACCGAAGGCCCCAGTGGGGTTGTCAGGACCCAACATCACGAGCCATGAGGGGCGCCTGTGGCAGCTCCCCTCATGGCTCTCAGAGCCCTCTCCTGCTTCTGCTCCTCGGTCAGGGGGGCGCCGTCCTCGTCGTCGTCGGCGCCCGCGAAGACGGCCGCGAACGTGTCCCTGAGCATGTCGTGCTCTGGCGGGAAGCCGTGCCCACATAGGGAGCGTGGGCGAAGATGGTATTCACAATTGCGGTATTCACAACTGCGTATGGTTGGGGGTCTTTCGCCAGGCTAATTCTAATTTTTTGCCCAAAATTCCCCTGTAGGGGGACAAGCCCGACCTAAGACAAGTGTGACGCCAGGACCCTTCAGGTCTGATGTCGTGCTCTTTTTTCCTTACCCAGACCCCCTCGCGTTGCAACGAAAATCACGACGGGAGGTTGTTCCTTATGTTCGGCCTCTTGAGGCCCTCACCGGCTCTTGGGGACGTCAAATATCATGTTACCAACATTGATTGCGAATTTCGTTTGGAAAACAATGAAATGGGCCCAGATTGTCCTGGAGAATTTCGTTCCGGATTTCGCAGTGACTTTCGTTTTTTTGGCCGGGGCGGAAGACTATTACAAACCCGCGTGAAATTCACTCCGTTTTTCGCTCGCCGTGTCGGGGTTTTGCATTAACAGAAATTCACGCAAAAATCCGCTGCAGCACTTCTGCAAGGTCGGTGCAGTGACTCTGGGGGTCGGGTCATGCAAAAATCATGACGTCGGAGGTCTGGGAATGCGGGGCCTCCGGAACTCCTGGCACCGTCCCCGCTGCAGCCGAGAGCCTCCCGGAGGCCCCAAGAGTCGGTATCGTTGAAGCGATCCCCATCCCCATCTCCATCCCCTTCGAGACCCCCACCAAATTACCACCCCAGTTGGGGATGCACCCCTCGAGGCCCGAAGAAAACGACCTACATCCCCATCTAGGGGGGCAAATCGGCCAGCGGGGCCCAGGCCACGCCGCTGGGGATGGGGATCGGTTAAACGATACTCTCAGAGAGGGTCTGCAGACCTCGGAAGCTCGAACATCGAGCCGACCAGGGGTCCGGGGGCTCGCGTCCGGGCTCTGCGGCTCGTTTGCGGGCGCGGGCCTGGATGAGGAGCGCGAGTCTCTAGGGCGCTGCCACGCGAGCGTTAAATCGGGCCTGTCCTTCTACAGGAGGGACATTCAAAAATAGGAATTGTCAACAAATAGTAAAGTTTATTTTTTTTTGGGGGGGGGATTTTTTTAAAGTATTTGTTGAGTATTCTTAATTTTTCGCCCCAGATCCCTTGGTAGGGGCACGGACCCGACCTAAGGGTCGTCCTCACCGACGTGGGCGCGTGAGCTGCCCGCGTGAAGGCCGCGCCAGCGCCCTCGTTTTCCTAATGGGGCGTGCCGCGCCGGCAGCCCGCGCAGGCCACCGCGTAAGGTCGCTGTGCCATCTCGCGTGGGGCCCCCTACATGGTGTTTTGTCGACCTCAACTGTGTTTTGGCGATCTCGTGGGACGTTCTCGCGTCGCTTCAATACCGTTTCGCAGCAAAAAGGTGGATCGAAGACAGTTCGAGGGGGAACGAAAACGAAACGAAAACGAGAAGCACTGTTTGGGTCGATCCCTATATTGTGAGCGTTTTTTTTTTTTCGGCGTTTCGACATTGGGCGGAAAAGGGGGTGGGTCTGGCTCCAGACCTCTGCTTAGTGCGACTGTTTGCAAGAGTGCTGCCTCTGTGGGAGATTCCACCCGCTCGAAACAGGCGCCCAAAAAACAGCCAAGATCTACTCCATGGGGGGGAGGGGGGGGGGCGAGGGCCCGCGCCGATCGGCACACCAATTAATAAAACACGATCGCTAAATTTTCGTCGCTCACATGTCCACGGGCTGGCCGTCGGCGTCCCGAACACCGGCGACTGGGGGGAGGGAGAGGAGGAAGGGTGGAGGAGGCGGATGGGGGAGGAGGAGGAGGAGCACGAGCAGGAGGGCTCGCATGTCCACGGGCTGGCCGCTGGCGTCCCGAAAAAAACCCCGCGTGGCCGAGAGGGCGGGGGCGGCCGCTCGTGCAGCGCCGCCGAGGGGCCGTGCGCCATAGGGGGCGCCCGTCTCCGCGCTCGTCGGCCCTGCGCCTCCTCCTCCTCCTCCTCCTCCTCCTCCTCCTCCTCCTCCTCCTCCTCCTCCTCCTCCTCCTCCCCCTCCTCCTTCTCCTCCTCCTCCTCCTTCTCCTCCTCCTCCTCGTCCTCCTCCTCGTCCTCCTCCTCGTTCTCCTCCTCCTCTTCCTCCTCCTCCTCCTCCTCCTCCTCCTTCTCCTCCCCCCTTCTTCCCTCCTCCGACCTCCTACGTCTTCCTCCTTGTTGCGCCAGGGGGCGCCCGGCTCCGCGCTCGTCGGCCCGGCGCCTGCACTGCCCGGGGCCAACCGACCTCGAGCCCCGAACTCGGCGGTGAGCGAGGGGGGGTAGCGAAGAAGAAAAAGAGGCATAGACATATTTTTTGGCGCGCTGCGCGGAGTTCTTGGATCTGCGCCGGGCCCCCCCCCCTGGCGGCGCCTCTGGCGCCGCCCATGGCGCGCTCCGCGCGCCAGGGAGGGGGGTGCGGCGCAGATCCAAGAAAGCCACGCGGAGCGCCAAAAGTGTATGTTCACGGCGTTTTTTTTATTGTTATTGTTTTCTTCTTCTTCTTCTTCTTCTTCTTCCTCTTCTTCCTCTTCTAGGGAAGCGAGAAGGGGCGAGCCTTCTGAGAAGTTTTCGAAAGCCTTCACTGGGGATGCAGAGAGCACTTCTCAGGAGGCGCGGGGGCTTCTGAGGAGTCCAGCCGCCTCTCGAGAGGGCAGTCTCCCTCTGGTTTCCCCCCTCGCTCGCCGCCGACGAACGAATGACACACTTGCTTTCGCATCCTAATGGCATTCAGTGTCGTTCAATTGATACCCACCCCCATGCCCACCCCCATCCCGATCCCCACCATCCCACCACCCCACCACCATCCCTTCATCCCCGATGCCCACCACCCCACCACCGTGGCCGCAGTATCCCTGCCGAGGGCTTCGGCAGCAAATCGTGGAGGCCTGGCGTGTCTTCGCAGTCTCGCCTTTGCTGTGCACCAGCGTCGATCAGCGTTTGGTCTTCAATGGAGTAGTGTTAAATCGGGCCTGTCCCTCTACAGGAGGAACATTCAAAAATGGTCAAAAAATAGTCAGTGGACGATTTTTCCATTATTTTTGTATAACCCACGTGTAGCGGTGATTTAGCGCCGATTCGCGTCGCTTGGCGTCGAAGCACTCGCGCCGAATGCTTTGCACTTGCCTCGCGCCGATTCTTTCGCGTCGACTCAGTCGGCGAGGGCGCGCGCTCGCCGCCCGCGAGGTGTGCCTGGTGGTGTGCGGCGCCGCCACGAGCGTCCGCTGCGCCCACGCCCGCGGTCGCGGGAAGGGCCCGGCGCCCGCCGCGGCGAGGGGCACGCCGCCGCCGTGCCCCGGCGAGGCCGCTCGCGGCGAGGCGGCAGAGGCCGCGGTCGACGAGAAAACGTCGTCGTCGTCGTTGTCGGCGGCGGCGGCGGCGGCGGCGTCGTCGTCGTCGGCGGCGGCGGCGTCGTCGTCTTCGTCGTTGTCGTCGTCGTCGTCGGCGGCGGGGGCGGCGGCGCCGGCGGCGTCGGCGTCGTCGTCATCGTCGTCGTCTGCCGGTGTGTCGACGTCGCCATGATACCGCGCGCGTCCGAGTCGCCGACTCGCACTGAGTTGCCAGCGCGTCAGCGCGGCCTGCGAAACGCCCCGGGAAGTGCCAAGTGGTCAGCGCCACCGCGGCTGCGTCGGTCGCGCCAGTCTAGCTGGCCGCTCTGCGCGCGAGCCAGCGCGAGCCATCGCGGCCGCAGCGATGCACGAGCCAGTGCCAAGCAGCCATCGCAGTTGCCGCCGCAAGTGTTTTGCAAACCAAGTTGCTGGTGGGTGGGTGGTACGCTTGCGCGAGCATGGGAAGTGGTCACGCGCGAGGAAGTAAAAGTCGACTGCGCCACATAGATTGCGCCACATGGACTGCACCACGCACATTGCACAGCATTTATTGGGCAACGGAGATTTCAGTACAGTGCACCACATAGACTGCACGGCATAGGTTGCTTCACGTCGATTGGACCACATGTTGCGCACCACCACGACGTGGATAGCACCACGCTGATTTTCCCTTTCAAGAAAGTAATTATTAGGATCTACTTCCCAAAACGCGGAAACATTCGAGCGCCCTTGCGCGCGTGCTGGGGGGGGGCACGATCCGTGTCAAATAACACCATGCGGGCCACTCTCGCGCGTCGTCCGCGCGCGCATGTCGAATTGCATCCAAAACCTTCATCACCGACGCGAGTGCGGCGTCATCGTCGTCGGCGTGATCAACATCGGCGCCGTCACCGGCCTTGCCGTCTTCGTTGTCATCATCGTCACCCGCGTCGCTACCATCATCACCGTGTCTACCGTTGTCGACGTTGCCATGATACTGCGCCCGCCCAACTCGCTGACTCGCATGGAAGTGCCCGCTGGGAAATGCCCAGCGGTCAGCGCCACCGCGGCCGCGTCGGTTGCGCCAAACTATGTGGCCGCTGCAGGCCAACGCGGCCGCAGAGGTGCACCAGCCATCTTTAAGCACCCATCGCAATCGCCGCCGCCTGGTTCTGCAAACCAAGTTGCGGGTGGGTGGGTGGGATGATTGCGCGATCAGTGGGGTTGACAACTTTCTGCGAACATGAATTGTTTGCGCTACATCTATTCCACCACGTAGATTGAGCCACGTCGATTGCAGCACATTTGTGTGCACCGTATATACAGCCCATGTAGAATGCACGTCATAAACTGCACTACGCTGATGTACCACACATTTTTCCCACAACGCAAATTGCGCAACCCATTTCCACAACGCAAATTGCGCAACCCATTTCCACACCATATATTGTACAGCGTAGACCTTCCTTATGTGTGTTTTGCATCTACAAATATGTATGTATGTATGTATGTATGTAGGTCGGTAGGTAGGTAGGTATGTATGTGTGCATGTGTGTCTGTAGGTGGGGTTGTTAGGTCTGTAGGTAATGTATGTATTCCCCAATCACAGAAGAAAGAAAAAAAAGAAAAAAGCTTGCTCTGTAGGGTCCTAGCGGATTCATATGGTTAACACGCTCGTTTTCCCCCGCCGGCCGCCGGGGGGGGGAACGTAGTCACACCGCGTCCCGGTGCCCGGGTGCCCCGCCCCTGGGGTGCCTGGCTCTACGGGGTGCCCGGGTTGCCCGGGGGTTGCCTGGATGCCGGGTGCCCTGGCCCGCGTGTCCCGCCCCCCCCTCCATGCAACACCGCGGCCCGCCTCCTCCGCCGCCTTCCCGCCCGGCCCCGCCGCCCGACCGGCCCGCCCCCACCCACGCCGGCCCCCCCCCCCCTGCCCTGCCCGCCGACCCCCGCCCCGGACCGCCCGGGTGCCCGGGTCCTCTTGGGTGCCCGGAATCGTGCCTGGGGGGGTGCCGCGCCTGAGTGGTGTGTGGTGCCCGGGGGTGCCCTATAGCCCTGCAGCCCTATAGTAGCCCAGTAGCCCAATAACCCTATAGCCCTACAACTCTATAGCCCTATAGCTCTATAGTTCTATAGCTCCATAGCCCTATAGCCCTATAGCCCCCTATCCCTATAGCCCTGATTGGGGCTTTCTCCGGTATCATGTATGTATGCCTGTGTTCCCATGTGAATCCGCTATAGCGGATTCGCATGGGTAGGTGAGCTGGGCCGCCGATTTCGGTGGCAGGGCTGGGGGCCCGGGGGCCCAGGTGCCCTTTTGCCTTATAGCCCAATAGCCCAATAGCCCTATAGCCCGATAGTCCTATAGCCCTATAGCCGTATACTCGTATAGCCCTATAGCCCTATAGCCCGATAGCCCTATAGCCCTATAGCCCAACAGCCCTATAGCCCTATAGCCCTATAGCCCTATAGCCCTATAGCCCTATAGCCCTATAGCCCTATAGCCCTATAGCCCTATAGCCCTATAGCCTTATAGCCCTATAGCCCTATAGCTCTGTAGCCCTATAGCCCAATAGCTCTGTAGCCCTACAGCCCTATAGCCCTATAGCCCTGTAGTCCTATAGCCCTATAGCCCTATAGCCCTTTAGCCCTATAGCCCTATAGCTTTTTAGCCCTACAGCCGTGTACCCTTATAGCCCCATAGCCTTACAGCGCTATAGCTCTATAGCCCTATAGTCCCATAGCCCTGTAGTCCTCACACATTATGATTGGGGCTTTTCTCTGGTATCATATGTATGTATGTTTGTATGTGTGCATGTATGTATGTATGTATGCATGCATGCATGCATGTATGTATGTAGGTAGGTATGTATGTATGCATGTATGTATGTATGTACGTACGTACGTACGTAGGTACGCACGTACACATGTAGGTATGCATGTATGCATGTGTGTTTGTCTGTTACATGTACGTAGTAGGTATGTACGTATGTGTGTATGTATTCACGTATATATGTACACATAGATTAGGGTGCATTGCATGGACTATTCCACTTACCGATCGCACAACATACATTGCGTGAAACACAGTGTTTGGGGTCCACGGTGGCAGCATATCTGTATTGCGCGACCTGGCTAATTGGTGGGTTTCAAGTGCCCTGAATGGCTGAGGGGGGATCGATCACTTCGCTAAATGAGCGGGGCGCCGTTGTCCCAGATTTCTCGTCCCCCTGACCCACTTAGGGCACTTGCAACCCACGTGGAAGCCAGGCTAGGCCATACATGCATTCATACATACATGCATAATTCATCTATTTAATCCGTTTTAGCAGCAACTGCCTCAGCGGGCACAACACATGCACACGTACGCGGTCACCTCCCGCTGGGATGCGTTTGAGCGCGGTCACTCGTGCGCGCGGGGCCGCGGAGGGCCTACACGTACAAATGCTTGCGCATCCACTCACACCCCGGAAGCCACCTTCGCATCCACTCACACCCCCCGCGCCCCCTCAGCGGCCCCGGCGGTGCTCCAAGCAGCAGCCGACGCGCTGCGCAGACGCGCTCGCCCCCGGGGCCTCGGAGGGCCCGCCCCCGCTTCGGACCTGGGGAGCGCCCGGCCCGCGGCGGCGAGAGGGCTCCCCGCAGAGGGGCCCAGACAGGGGCGCACAGAGGGCCAGAGCTCCGACGCATTGCCGCCGCCAGAAGGCGTCCACAGCCGCGGCTTCGGAGTCGTGCCCCCGAGATCTCGAGGAGCGGTGGATGCTAGGCCTCCCAGATCGGGTCCGAGCAGATGGGGTCGGAGGATCGCTCCGCATCGCCGATACATCGGCGATGCGGCTCGATGCGGAGCCCGATTTTCCGCGCGCCGACGTCGCCGATACATCGCCGACGTCGCAGATGCATTACCGATGCATCGCTGATGCATTGGCGATGCGGCGCGATCCTCCGACCCCATTTGCTCAGACCCCATCTAGGAGGCTTGTATGGGTACGGATATCTGCCTGCCCGCGTGGTCGGGAAGACATCCATATCCACCGCTCCCCGGGTCCTCGGAACACGGCCCAGCGGCCATGGATATGGTCACATTCTGGCGGCGCAGTGTTGACTTATGGAGTGCGCGGCTCCAGGAAGTCTCAACCAATCCTCCAGGGCCAGCTATTCGTGCTAAGCCTTTCTGTTGACGGTCTGGGTGGTCCGGCGAGGGCCGAAACCAGCGCAACACTTCCGCCATGCTTTTTTCATTACGTTTCACGGCGCCAACATCGTAGCGTGGATTTCGTTAGGAAAACAGTAGACGCGTTTTTTGCGGCCAGGAATGAAGACTAAAAATTACCCTGGCGAAGGACCCAACCAAATGCAGTTGTGAGTACTGCAAGTGTGAGTATCTTCTTCGGTGGCGATCCCTTTGCGGCCACGAACCGCATGAGGGGTGCGCCGAATTGCGTGGCGGGGTACACAACACGAACGAAGAAGATAAGTCGAACTACAAGAGACTGAGCACGGGCGAGTCTGAGTGCGAGTGCGTCTGAGGGTGAATGACTATGCGTGCGAATGAGGATCTTTGCATGAATGCGAACACGGCGAGCGGTGCGGTGGCACTGGGGCCTTCGGTGGAGCTCCCTATGGGGCCACGAAACGTGTGAGGGGTGTGCCGAAGTGGGTGTGGGGGACGCATGCGGGCGGTGGCACAGGGGGCTTCGGTGGAGCTCCCTATGGAGCCACGAAGCGTGTGAGGGGTGTGCCGAAATGGGTGTGGGGGACGCATGCGGGCGGTGGCACTGGGGCCTTCGGTGGAGCTCCCTGTGGGGCCACGAAACGTGTGAGGGGTGTGCCGAAATGTGTGTGGGGGACGCATGCGGGCGGTGGCACTGGGGCCTTGGGTGGAGCTCCCTATGGAGCCACGAAGCGTGTGAGGGGTGTGCCGAAATGGGTGTGGGGGACGCATGCGGGCGGTGGCACTGGGGCCTTCGATGGAGCTCCCTGTGAGGCCACGAAACGTGTGAGGGGTGTGCCGAAGTGGGCGGGGGAGGACGCATCGTGCGGATGCACAGGGGCCTTCGTGAACTTCATATTGAGTCAAAGGAACGTGGTCAGGGGTGTCGAGAGTGTGGAGTGATGTGTGTGTGTGCGTGTGTGAGTGCGTGTGTGTGTGTGTGGTAGTGTGCGTGTGTGTGTGTGATGTGTGTGTGTGGTAGTGTGAGTGTGTGTGTTGTGTGTGTGCGGGTGAGTGTGAGTGTGTGTGTGTGTGTTCGTGTGTGAGTGTGAAGTGTTGAGTGTGAGTGTGAGTGTGAGTGTGAGTGTGAGTGCGAGTGCGAGTGTGAGTGTGAGTGTGAGTGTGATGTGTGTGTGTGTGTGGTTGCGTGCGTGCGTGCAGTGGGTGTGTGTGTGTGTGTGTGTGTGTGTGTGTGTGTGTGTGTGGGTGGGGGCGCATGCGGGCGGTGGCACTGGGCCTTCGGTGGAGCTCCATATGGGGCCACGAAACGTGTGAGGGGTGTGCCGAAATGGGTGTGGGGAACGCGTGCGGGCGGTGGCACTGGGGCCTTCGGTGGGACTCCCTATGATGCCACGAAACGTGTGAGGGGTGTGCCGAAGTGGGTGTGGGGGACGCATGCGGGCGGGTGGAGCTCCCTGTGATGCCACGAAACATGTGAGGGGTGTGCCGAAATGGGCGTGGGGGACGCATGCGGGCGGTTGCACTGGGGCCTTGGGTGGAGCTCCCTATGGTGCCAGGAAGCGTGTGAGGGGTGTGCCGAATTGGGTGTGGGGGACGCATGCGGGCGGTGGCACTGGGGCCTTCGGTGGAACCTCCCATATGGGCCACGCAAAGTTGAGAGGGGTATTCATACGAAATGGTGTGTTGTAGTGTGTGTGTGTTGTGTGTGGTGTGTGTGTGTGTGTGTGTGTGTGTGTGTGTGTGTGTGTGTGTGTGTGTGTGTGTGTGTGTGTGTGTGTGTGTGTGTGTGTGTGGGGGGGGACGCATGCGGGCCGTGGCACTGGGGCCTTCGGTGGAGCCCCCTATGGGGCCACGAATGAGGGATGTGCTGAAATGGGTGTGGGGGACGCATGCGGGCGGTGGCACTGGGGCCTTGGGTGGAGCTCCCTGTGGGGCCACGAAACGTGTGAGGGGTGTGCCGACATGGGTGATGATGCTGGTGACGATGACGGTCGTGATGATGATGATGATGATGATGACGATGATGATGATGACGATGATAATGATCATGATGACGCTGATGGTGATGATGATGATGATGAAAATGATGATGATAATGATGATGATGATGATGATGATGATGATGATGATGCTGATCATAATGCTGACGATGATGATGATGATGATGATGATGATGATGATGATGATGATGATGATGATGATGATGATGATGATGATGATGATGATGATGATGATAGATGATGATGATGATGATGATGATGATGATGATGATGATGATGATGATGATGATGATGATGATGATGATGACGGGAGGAGAGAGGAAGGGGGAGGAGGAGGAGGAGGAGGAGGAGGAGGAGGAGGAGGAGGAGGAGGAGGAGGAGGAGGAGGAGAGGAGAAGGAGAGGAACGCGTGGCGACGTCTCTTCAAAACGAGGACCCAACAGCACAGGATGGTTGGGAGAAGCCACGCGAAATTCACATCGTTTTTCACTCGCCGTTTCGGGGTTTTGCGCTGACGCAAAGCCACGCAAAAATCCGCTGCAGCACGCCTGCAAGGTCGGTGCAGTGATACGTCGGAGGGCATTGGTTTTCGGGCCCTGGCTCGGGTCTCGGGAAGCCGTTCGGGACGACCCGGGCAGCCCTGGAACGCTGTCGGCGAGGCGCGGCTGCTGGAGAGCACCCCGAGGGATGGAGGAGCGCTGAGGACAGACGACAAAATGGTGTCGGAGGTCCGGGCGCTGCCAAGGCTCAGCAGCGGATCCGTGGCGATAGAGCATATTTTTTCCGCCGTCGGGGACCTTCGCCCAAGGGCGGCTGGAATATTTTATTCCCCTACGCCCGAGTGTTCTTCAGCACTGTCGAACCTATCCCCGTACCCACTGGCCTACCCTCATAGGTTTAAGTCGGGCCTGTTCCTCCACTGTAAGATATTCAAACATTTGTAAAACAATAGTATGGGGACCATTCGTTGATTGTTTGATCATTTTTGAATGTTTTTTTGGGTATTTTTTTCTTTCGTTCCAAATCCTCCTGTAGCGGGACAGGCCCGACCTAATCCTAGGGGATAGGCCCCGCTGAACCCGAAGGGCCAGCCATCTGTCCCCACCTAGGTGGGTGTGTCGGCTGGTGGGGCCAAGGCCACGCCCGTGGGAACAGGAATCGGTTAAGCGATCGTCATTCTCCGTCTGCTTTTCTGATCATAAATCGGGTCTCCAGCGGCTGTTCGCTCGGCGAGGCGCAGCTGCTGTAGAGTATCCCGAGGCTGGAAAAACGCCGAGAGCCCACGGAAACATCCGAAAAGCTTTTCAAATCCTGAGAGCCGGTGACCACGACAGGTATTAGACGATGCTCGGGCCCCTCCTGCTGGCCGCTCGCCCGCTGCCGAGATGGTGGTCGAGGCGGAGGCTGTCGAGGCGGATGATGGGCCTGTTTTCCACCACCGCCACCATAAGTTGGAGGGGGAGGGGGTCCTCCTCCTCCTCCTCCTCCTCCTCCTCCTCCTCCTCCTCCTCCTCCTCTTCCTCCTCCTCTTCCTCCTCCTCCTCGTCCTCCTCCTTCCCCCCATCCAACTTATGGTGGTGGTGGTGGTGGTGGAAAACAGGCCCATCAGCGGAGGCTCCCGAGGCGGCGGCCGAGGCCGAGGACGCGGCGGCGGCCGCGGCGGAGGGCGCTGGCGGCGGCAGGGTCCCCGCGCTGCCGCGCCTGCGCCCGCGGGCCGCGCCGAGCCTCGCCGCAGCCTCGCCGCGGGCTTCGCCGTGGGCCCCGCCGCGGCCTCGCGCGGGCCTCGTCGCGGGCCTCGCCCTGGGCGCGCCGTCGCCGCGGCTGCCAGCGGCCCGCGGCCCGGCTGCGCGCCGCGTGCCGCGGCGGGCTCCGCGGCCGCCGGCCCGCGGCGTCGCCGGTGGCCGCGCCCTCGTCGCCCGCCTCAGGCGACGCCCCGCGGTCCGCCGGGGGCCGCGGCGAGGTGGCCGAGACATCCGCCAGTGCTTGGTGGGTCAAGGGCTTCGAGCTAAGCGCTGCTTGTACTACCCCACGATTGCAAATCGCACTGCAGTCGGGGGCTCTGAAAAGGAACCCATTTCCGTTGGTGAGGGGCTCCGAGTTCCTTGTTTTTTTATCACAATAGGCCGCAAGCTTGCCCCTGGATTTCTTGTGGTTTTCGACGGGACATCGAAGGTTCGAAGTGTAACTTATTGGAAAAGGGTCCTCGTACCTTACTTAGGGTTCCTTAGGACAACGCGCCGACTGTACCCCTGATAGGCCTACTGTCCACCACCCGCTACCATAGGCTTACGGGGAGGTGGGGAGGTGGTCCACCTCCTCCTCCTCCTCCACCCTCCTCTCCTCCTCCTCCTCCTCCTCCTCCTCCTCCTCCTCCTCCTCCTCCTCCTCCTCCCCTCATATCCTGCCTATATGGCAGTGGTGGTGGAAGATCGGCCCATCATACCCCTGCTCGTACTTGCACTGTCCATGCCCACTGCCTCTTGCCCTGCGCTTCCTGCCTCCCCGCGCGCGCTTCCCGCGCCAGAATCCCGCGCGTGGCCCCCTCTCACTGTCCGGCGCACCTCTCCCGGCATGGCCCGGCGCACTTCCAGGCACTGTCTGGCGTATCGCCTGTCACTTACGCACCCACCAGTCACCGAGCGCGTTCCACTACTCGCAAAGTGCCCACTACTCGCAAGCGTGAGAAAAACACCCGTTCGCCTCGATGTAATTTATCGTAAATCCTCCGCGGCTGATCTAGGCCATTTGCGAGTAGTGACTTCGCGAGTAGTGGAACGCGCTTGCCTAACCAGGTCCGCATTTTTTTTTTTTTTGTTTTTTTTTGTTTCTCTCTCTCTCTCTCTCTCTCTCAGAAGAAGAAGAGTACAAAGAAAACCACATAAACATAAACGTTTGGCGCTCCGCGCGGATGTCTTGGGTCCGCGCCGCGGCGCCTCCGGCGTCGCCCCTGGCGCGCTCGGAGCGCCAAAAGTTTATGTTTATGTGGTCTTTTCTTCTTCTGAGCAACAAGCGACACTACCCCACCTACGGTCCTCCAGGTTGCGCCACGGCCCATCGGGGCCGTAGCGCACACCACGCCTACGACGTATGTCCTGGTGTACGCTGGGCCCCGTGGGGCCGTGGGTGGAGTGGTGTCGTTCGTTTTCTGGCCCGGTCTTGGCGATTCCGAGGGCCGTTGTCATCTTGATTTCGCTTTGCACCAGAGGCAGAACGAAGACAGAACGAGGGAGGAACGAGAGCAGAACACAGACGGGAAGCACCCGTTCAGCTCGAGCCCTGGCTCGGGGGGGGCAACGCTCGCAGACCTGCCCGCGTCGTGGCAAACATCGGGACGGGCGGGCTTTGGCCAAACTATTGGGGGTTTCTGGGGGCCGTCGAGGCAGCGGCTCAGGACGAAAGCCCGCCCCCAGGGAGAGGGTCGAGACTTCCGGGGGGCCCCATGCTGAAAAAGTCGGGACATCTGGCAGGGGGAAGCAGTCGGTGCGCGTTCCCCCGCACCCCCGATCTCGAAGTGGGCACGCGCGGGGGAGGCTGCGGCCGAAGTGCAGCTCCTCAGGCCCACCGACAGCTTTGAACATCTGGGGGGAGGGTATGGGGTACGAATAATGACATAAACATATAATCTCCTAGGTCCGCGCGGATTTCTCGGATTGGCGCTGGACCCCCCTCCCTGGCGCGCGGAGCGCGCCAGGGTCGGCGCCAGAGGTGCCGCCAGAGGGGCCCCAGCGCGGATCCGAGAAATCCGCGCGGACCTCCGAGTTTTTGTGTTTATGTCACTCTTCGTTCCCTTAGAGGGGGAGGGGGAGGCGTTGACCGATGAATGTGACATGCGTGTTCGCTACTTTTTTCCGAGGCCTGTCGCAAGTCTGAGGCCACTGCTCAGGGGCAACGTTGGGGGGGGGGCGCCCGCCAGGTGCTCCTCGGGGGCCACGGCAGGGGCAGGTTTTCGGAGGCTCTCGTTCCCCCTTCTCTTCCTCCTCCTCGTTCCTCCTCCTCCTCGTTCCTCCTCCTCCTCCTCGTTCTTCCTCCTCCTCCTGTCTCTGTGGGGTCTTGCACTTCGGAGGTGCTCTCCAGCAGCTCTGCGCCTCGGCGAGGGCGCTCCCGGGGGGTGCCAGGACATCGTCCCAAGAGAGGCCGCCGGAGGCCAGACGTAAAGCCCGAAGAGCAGCCCCTCCCTCGCGTTAAGTCGGGCCTGTCCCTCTACAGGAGGAGTGTTCAAAAATAGCCCAACAAATAGTCAAGGGATGATTTTATTTTGACAATTTTTGACCATTCTGGAGACTCTTTTGAATATTTTTCATTTTTCGCCCGAGATCCGCCCGTAGGAGGACAGGCCCGACCCAACAGATGCCACGACGGGCGGTCTTTGGCTATCCTCGGCCTCTGGGGGCTCTCGCCGAGCCCCGGAGCCGCCCAAGCGCTGCCCGGGTCGAAGGAGAACAAATGGCATAAACATAAACGTTCGAAGCTTCGCGCAGATTTCTTGAATCCGCGCTGGGCCCCCTCTCTCTGGCGCGCGAAGCGCGACAGGTCCGCATTTGGTCTCTCTCCCTCTCTCTGTCTCTGTCTCTCAGAATAACAATAAGAATCATAGTAATAATGAGAATAATAATAAGACGAATAATAATACTAATAATAATAATATTATTATTGTTGTTGTTGTTATTATTATTATTATTATTATTATTATTACGAAGAATAATGCTAATAATAAGAATAAGAAGACGAATACTATTCATAATAATAAGAAGAATAACAAGAAGAAAACCACATAAACATGAACGTTCGACGCTTCGCGCGGATTTCTTGGATCCGCGCTGGGCCCCCCCAGCGGTGCCTCCAGCGCCGCCCCCTGTCGCTCCGCGCGCCAGGGAGGGGGGGGGTCCAGCGCAGACTCAAGAATTCCTCACGGAGGGCCAGCAGTTTTTATGTTTATGCCGCTTCTCCTTCGTCAGCTGGGAGGAGAGGCCAGTCTCAGAGAAGTGGTCGAGATCTCTGGGGGTCGACGTTGCGAGGCCAATCGCTACAGGATCACGACGTCGGGGGTCTGGCTCGGGGGGGAAGCATCGGCACCCAATCGCCTCTGAATTGTCGATATGGGGCCTGATGTTAAGTCGGAACTGTCCTTCTAAAGGAGGGATATGCAAAAAAGTCAAGAAATAGTCAGGGGACGATTTTTTGAGTATTTGTTTGGCATTTTGAGGGTATTTTTGAGTATTTTTTATTTTTCGCCCAAACTCCCCCTGTAGGGGGACAGGCCAGACCTAAGCCTGATGGCCCGTCCATTTTTTTCCCAACCATCCTGTGGTGTTGGGTCCTCGTTTTGAAGAGACAGCGCCCCGCGTTCACTCCTCCTCCCGCTGCCCCCTCCCTCCTGCCATCATCATCATCATCATCACCCACTTCGGCACACCCCTCACACGTTTCGTGGCCCCATAGGGAGCTCCACCGAAGGCCCCAGTGGCTGCGCTCCCATGCGCCCACCGCACCCATTTCGGCACACCCCTCACACGCTTCGTGGCCCCATAGGGAACTCCACCGAAGGCCCTAGTGGCTGCGCTCCCATGCGCCCGCCGCACCCATTTCTCACACGTTTCGTGGCCCCATAGGGAGCTCCAGCGAAGGCCCCAGTGGCTGCGCTCCATGCGCCACCGCACCCATTTCGGCACACCCCTCACACGTTTCGTGGCCCCATAGGGAGCTCCACCGAAGGCCCCAGCGGCTGCGGGCGGGCAACCATCACACCTTCGTGGTCCATCTCAGCGAAGGCACCCCAGTGGCTGCGCTCCATCGGTCGGCACACCCACACGCTTCCCAGCTCCAGCGAAGGCGCGCCACCGCACCCATTTCGGCACACCCATCACACGTTTCGTGGTCCCATGGGGAGCTCCAGCGAAGGCCCAGTGGCTGCGCTCCCATGCGCCCCCGCACCCATTTCGGCACACCCCTCACACGTTTCGTGGCCCCATAGGGAGCTCCACCGAAGGCCCCAGTGGCTGCGCTCCCATGCGCCCACCGCACCCATTTCGGCACACCCCTCACACGTTTCGTGGCCCCATAGGGAGCTCCAGCGAAGGCCCCAGTGGCTGCGCTTCCATGCGCCCACCGCACCCATTTCGGCACACCCCTCACACGCTTCGTGGCCCCATAGGGAGCTCCAGCGAAGGCCCCAGTGGCTGCGCTCCCATGCGCCCACCGCGCCCATTTCGGCACACCCCTCACACGCTTCGTGGCCCCATAGTCCCATGGGGAGCTCCACCGAAGGCCCCAGTGGCTGCGCTCCCATGCGCCCACCGCACCCATTTCGGCACACCCCTCACACGCTTCGTGGCCCCATAGGGAGCTCCAGCGAAGGCCCCAGTGGCTGCGTTCCCATGCGCCCACCGCACCCATTTCGGCACACCCCTCACACGTTTCGTGGCCCCATAGGGAGCTCCAGCGAAGGCCCCAGTGGCTGCGCCCCCATGCGCCCACCGCACCCATTTCGGCACACCCCTCACACGTTTCGTGGCCCCATAGGGAGCTCCAGCGAAGGCCCCAGTGGCTGCGCTCCCATGCGCCCACCGCACAGATTTCGGCACACCCCTCACACGTTTCGTGGCCCCATAGGGAGCTCCACCGAAGGCCCCAGTGGCTGCGCTCCCATGCGCCCACCGCACCCATTTCTGCACACCCCTCACACGTTTCGTGGCCCCATAGGGAGCTCCAGCGAAGGCCCCAGTGGCTGCGCTCCCATGCGCCCACCGCACCCATTTCGGCACACCCCTCACACGTTTCGTGGCCCCATAGGGAGCTCCAGCGAAGGCCCCAGTGGCTGCGCTCCCATGCGCCCGCCGCACCCATTTTGGCACACCCCTCACACGCTTCGTGGCCCCATAGGGAGCTCCAGCGAAGGCCCCAGTGCCCGCGCCCGCATGCGTCAGCCACACCCATTTCGGCACACCCCTCAAACGTTTCGTGGTCCCATAGGGAGCTCCACCGAAGGCCCCAGTGCCCGCGCCCGCATGCGTCAGCCACACCCATTTCGTCAACTCCCTCACACGTTTCGTGGCCCCATAGGGAGCTCCACCGAAGGCCCCAGTGCTGCCGCCCGCATGCGTCCCGCACACCCTTCCCCTTCACACGTTTCGTGGCCCTATAGGGAGCCCCACCGAAATTGGTAGTGTGAACTGCGGTATTCACACCTGCACATGGTTGGGTCCTTCGTCAGGCTAATTTTTTTTGGGGGGTCTCTGAGGCCTTCGGAGAACGACTCGGGATGCGCAGCTGTTTTCAGGCGAGATCCCGGAGTCCAAGTCCCGTTTCCTTCCGGATTCTTTTCCCCCTCCAGCCAGCGTTCGGAGGGCGTCGGTGATGGCCAAGCCAGGAGGGCGTCTACCCTGAGAGCCGACGTCGTACAACAAAGCGCCAGCGTTGGACCTCAGCTTTCTTCGGAGTGTCTCGAGGCGGACCGAGCTGCGAGGGCTCGAGGACCCGAGGGCCCGGGCGAAACGCTCAGTGTGAACCGATCTTGGGCCCTCAAAAGGGGTCCCAAGACTGGCCAAGACGGCCCCAACACGGCCCAAAAGGCATCCGCGACGGCCCAGCAGAGCCCCAGGACGGCCCCAAGAGGGGCCCAAGAGAGCGGAACACGAACCTACGAGTCGAGCGTTCCGCCCCAAGACGCCGCCCAGGAGGTCCCATGACGCCCCCAAGAGGCCCACGAGGCCCCCACGAAGCCCCCAAGAGCCCCAGGATTGGATTGGTCAGGATCGGTGTAGGTGCAAGTGTCGACTACACGCCAGAGTGACCCTTCGCCAGCGTGACCTTTGGTGCAGGCCCACAGGGGTGCCCCGATCGCCGAGCGCGGTGCGATGATAGCCTCTTGCGCGCTTGTGTTTGGTCACCCCGCGGCCCCACAAGAGCCGCGCACCAAAGGTCACTCTTACCCAGGGTCACTCCTGCGTGTAGCCGAAGTTGGCGCCCTGCCAGACAGCCGGGCCGCTGAAGCAAGGACCACTCTTGGGCTCAGGAGGGGCTCCTGTTGTGAGGCCGCTCTTCAGACCCACGTCGTGGAACCGACTCGTGGCCGAAGCTCGCCGTGGCCAGACAAGCACCTTCGATTCTCTTTCAGCGTTCACTCAGGGCCCACTTTGGCGACGGAACACATGGGGTCGACTGCGCCGACATTGGCGCGTGAGCTGCCCGCGTAAGGCCGCGCGTAAGCGCCCTCGTTCTCCGCGCGGTGTGTCGCGCTGGCGGCCCGCGTAGGCCGCGGCGTGTGGTCGCTATGCTCTCTGCGTAAGAGTCGTTTCTTGCCTCAGCTCATTTCGCTCCAGTGGATCCGGTCCGACATCGACTCTGGCCGACTGGGGCCGATTCGACCCCGATGCTCCGATGATCCGCTGCGGCCCAGTGCGCGCACGGGCGCCGTGGTGCATCCGGTGGCTCGGCCGGCCCGAGCCCTCGTCCGATGTCGCAGTTTTTGCTCGTGGCACGGGCCCCCGGGGATCTCGAGCACTTCCATAATCGGATGACCGCAGAGGTTGCTAAATGGATAGGGAATCTATACATGAGTGCTGTTTTTATGTTCTATGTATATTTGCATGTCTAAACACAATAGTGTGGCTTAACATGACTAATAAGTGGTTGAGAAGTGCCCTGAGTGCTCTTTATGACAGGGCACTTAGGGCCACTTAGGGCACTTGACTGCCTACTTGTATGTTTTAGTTTACGCCATATGTCGCCCCCCTTAGCCTGTACTTTTAACCTCCCTAGCCCCTTAGCGCCCCCCGCGGTCATCCAAGCAGGGCCGTCTCTTCATCCCGAGTCGTTGTCTGACGGCCCTGGGGCCGGGAAACAGCCTCCGGAGGCCAAACACGTCCCAAATGCCGGCCGTCACTGTTTCGTTGCGTCGCCTGGATGTGAGGGCGAGCTTTCGGCGTCACCCCAACATACTGCTGCTATGTGTGGTTCGTCCCCCCAGGGGCGGCGCGGGCACCAAGAAATCTTATAGTAAATGCGTCGTGGCGGGCGCTTTCTGGCCACACCGCTCGCGAAACGATATACTACAAGATGAGTATACTATATGTTCGGATCGGACGCGCGCCTCCAAGGAGGACATAAAGTCTTAGTATGCCTCTGTGCGTCCCAAGCTTGGTTGCGGCTCCGTGCCCGACGCTGGTCCGATGTCCCGACCCGATTCGGTGCTGATCGATGCTGCCCTCGGTGGCGCGATGGCTGCACCGCGAGGACTTCGGCCCGCACCCCGTGGCCCGCCCGCTGGCGCCGCTGCCGGAGGACCCAGACCAGGGTCGGGATCAGAAGAAGGTCTTTTCGGTATTGTCTAGCCGATCCCCATCCCCACCTCCATCCCCGTCGAGTGCCCCACCAAATTACCACCCCAGTTGGGGATACACCCCTCGAAACCCGAAGAGAACGACCTATATCCCCATCCAGGGGGGTAAATCGGCCAGTGGGGCCCAGGCCACGCCGCTGGGGATGGGGATCGGTTCAACGATACTGATCTTTGTCAGCGTGTGCGTCGGCCGAGCTCCTTCCGGTGATGCCGGAGAGGTCCGAGTGCTGACCTCTGGCTCACTGTGGCCCCGAGGCGGCAGACACGGCCGGTCAGGTCAGTGCTCGGCGACTCTGGTGGCACTCCAGCAGTTCTCGGTCGGATGCATCGCTTCCGCAAGGGCGACGCGCCCCTCACTGAAACAGCCTGCAGTATGAGCACCGTGGCGGTCGCTTTCTGGCCCGACCGCCTTGGTAACGCTCCGCAGTAAGATTTGCGTACCGGGTCGAACGTGCGCCTCCAACACAAGCACATAGTGCTGGCATGCCCTTCTGTGTCCTCCTGTGTCCTCCTGTACAGCAGCAAAAACACGTGCCCCGAGTTCCCTCGGAATGCAGCTCTGACAAGACTGTTTTCCTTGACATCTACATGGGGGGCGCTGGGGAGCAAGAGAGGGCGAATGGGTTCCGGCATCTCGGAGGCGCTCCAGGGAACTCTTGACCTCGGTTCCTCCCCCTCGGCGCCGCGAATAATAGTATTAATCGTATTAGTAAGAATAACGGTAATACTAAGAAGAAGAAGAATAAGAAGAAGAATAATAATACTACTAATAATAATAAGACTCATACGAGTATTAATTATAAGAATCATAAGACGGTTAATGATCATAATGATAGTAATGGCAATTTCTCCGGCAGTAGGACTCCGCATGAGAGCCTCCCAAACTAATCTGGAACCTCATCGTCGTCCTTGTGAGTGCAGAGGCTCTCTTCCGGTCTCCTCATCGCCCTTCGCTGTTTCGCCCTGGTGGAGGCCCCTTTCCCGACCTGTGCTCTGCCGCCTCCTCGTCCTCCTGTCTCTTCTCCCCCATCCACCTCTCGCGCCCGTCTACAAAAAAACACGCAGGTCGATTTTCCTTGGCGCCGTTGCGGCCACGGCCGGCATTTGCGCTTTCTCCGATGGCCAGGTCGCGAAGCCTTTGGGACGAACCCCGCGGGCCAGGCCGTTGGGACAACCCCGCGAGCTGCTGAGGCGCGACAGCAACCCGTTGGGACAACCCTGCAGGTCTCAAGCTAGTTGCGGCCGCGTTCAGGCGGGAGGCATCGCGCAGCCCAGCTCTGCCGTGAGCTTCTCCGCTTCAACCTTGGAGCTCTGCGCTCTCTTTTCGAACTCCACGAGCGCCTTTCGCAGGGACGCCGGCGGCCCGCGTTCTATGACTTTTCGCGTGGGCGGCCACAGGATCAGCATGTTTGGCATGCGCGTGGCGCGTGAGAACATGACGTAGAGGCGCTGGGGCCAGTGCTCGTCCGACGTGCCCGTGCGACCAAAATCCGCATCCCTGGTGCAGTCGATTGTGATGTGATGTCTTTGCGCAGCGCCTGACCTTGCGTCAGCGTCGAGTTTAAGTGGGGCTCGTGCATCACGGTTAACCTCGACCGGCTTACGACGCGCGTCCCTGATCTGTGCCGCATGAACTCCTGCTCGCTGGGCCTGAGTATGCGCAAGCTCCTCGCCCGCGCCTCGGCTCAGTTGTCGTCGTCAGCGCCTTCGGCTCCCGTTCAAAACTTCCTCGCGGTTCTTTCACAGAGACGCTTGGTTCCCGCCTCGGACTACCGCGCAGTTCGCTCACATACGAGGCTCCCCTTCGAGACGTCGTTCGTATCCAACTTTCAAGAACCCACAAGTGACGACAATTGCAAATTTCCGATGACCCGTTCGGATTGGTATCATGAGCTTCGGGCCCCATAGGGAGGGGGCCCCCGCTTGAGATTTTCTCGTGGCTTACTCACAGACGAAGCTCCCGTCCGAGACTTCTTCCATATTCAAGCTTGAAAGGGCCAGACGTGACGACAGTTACAGGCTCCCGATGAGTCGCTCGGATGAATAACATGGGCTGCGGGCTCCAGCCTGGGACTTCTTCGCAAACCATTCACACGCGGGTCTCGCCTTACACCGCTTCCGTGTTCAAGATAAAGAGGCCAGCAGTAACGACAGTTTAGAGGTTCCCGATGGCCCGCCCGGATTGGTAACTTGAGCTGCGGGCCCTATATGGAGAGGGCTGACGACAGGTACCAATTTCCAATGACCTGGTCGTCTTAGTCAAATGAGCTGCGGGCTCCGTGGGAAGTGACCTCCCGCATGCAAGTTCTTCGCACTGCATTCAAAAACGAGGCTCATGTTAGAAGCGTCCTTCATATTCAAGCTTTAGGAGGCCAGGAGTGATGACAGTTAAGGTTGCCGATGACCCGCTCGGATTGGTAATGTGTTCTGCGGGCCCTATAGGGAGGGGGCTTCCGCTTGAGACTTCCTCGCAATTCGCTCATCGACGAGGCTCCCGCATGAGATTTTTTTTACTCATGGTAGAAAAGCCAGTAATGTCGACAGGTACAGGTTCCCAATGACCCGGTCGGATTTGTAACATGAGTTGCGGGCCCCATGGGGAGTGGTCTTCCGCCTGAGACTTCCTTGCGCTGCACTCAAAGACGAGGCTCCCGCTAGAAACGTCCTTCCTCTTCAAGCTTGCGGAGGCCAGAAGTGATGACAGTTAATGTTCCCGGTGACCCGTTCGGATCGGTAACGTGAGCTGCGGGCCCTATAGGGAGGGGGCTCCCGATATTTCTTCGCAGTGCACTCAGAGACGAGGCTCTCGCTGGAGACCTCCTGACTGATGATGATGCTGATGATGATCATGCTGATGATGGTAATGCTAATAATGGTGATGATGATCATGCTGATGCTGGTGATGATGATGATGATGAGGCTGCTGATGATGCTGATGATGATTATGATGCTGCTGATGTTGATAATGCTGATGCGGGTTATCTGATGATAGTAGTAAGCATGATGATTATGATGCTGATGCTTATGATGAGGTCTACGATGATGATGATCGCGATGGTGATGATGCTCATGTTGTGGTGTTGGCGAATGTGGAAACATGGCGTGGTGATGATGATGGTGATGACCGATGGCCATGATGGGATGATGGTAGTGGTGATTGATTATGGTGGAGTGATGATGAAAACGGTGAGGGTGTGGGAGTGATCCTGTTCCTGCGCGGGGGTGTCCAGAGAAAACGAGAACCCCACTGATGATGTTTGCAATGCTAGTCGGAAGAGTAAGAGGACTAATCATATTATTTAGCACGCCGGGAATAATACTAACACTACAAGTGATACCAATAGTAAGGCTAAGCCATTTTGATTCAAGCCATTTGGGCTCAAGCCATTTTGCTCAAACATATCTTTGCCTCAAGAGGGAACCATACTTGGCTCAAGAGGGAATCACCATATATCCGCCTCATACTTCACCTCGCACTTCGCCTCACACTTCCCTCTTGATGGCTTCACCTTCGGCATGGTGGGTGAACGCTGGGGACAGCTTGTTGTGAGAAGGCAAGAGGAAAAGATGAAGGAAATGTTGCGCCAGATCGAACAGGACGTCCAGACCTTGAAGGGGGATGTCACGGGCATCAAGCAGTCTCAAACGGATTCGGAGGAGCGGGTCGGGAAGCTCGAGACGGGTCAGCTTGCGAGCTCTTGGCGTGCCACCTTCGTCGAAATCGAAGGATTGTGCGAATGGGATGACACATCCTCCAATGGGATTAATACGACCGAGGCCATCGAAGTGGTCTTGGAGTTGAAGGGAAACTTCCGTAGGAACTCCGTGAGCACGTCAGGGAGATGCAGCTCAAGGGGCCCAGGAACTACGCCATCAAGAATCCCATGACGCCCGAGTACTTCTAGGATATTTGTGGGATCTGGAACGGCTACCTCACGAAAGATGACAAGTAATGAAACAAAGTGGGCGCCGTGATCTACGTGCGCGCCGAGCGCCACCCCGACGTCCAGGCGCAGTATACCAAGCTCGGGCGCGCCGAGGACTGGGTACTGGAGGGGATCGAATCGACATTGGAGCCGAAATCGGATTGGATCCTCGTCTTCAAAGTGGTTATCAACAAATCCGACGTGCAGGGGGATATGGGTGGTAAGCCAACTGCCGTGTTATGCGAAGTTCAGGTTGGAGGAGGTCTTGTATGGCATGCTGAGGGGTTTCGGATCGGTGGCCTGTCCAAGACAGCCGCAGAAGAAGGAGTCAGGCGGGCCCGGAGGAAGGGACCCTTCACCAATTAGACAGTAGGGGTGCCCGCCGCTGAATTCGAGGTCCGGGGGAAGAGGTTTCTCGGTTATCTCCTACAACTTGCGCACAAATAATCCTGTTGAAATGCATCGGATCTCCAGGAATTTGAAGCGTTTGTGTATTGGGGGCGCTTTCGTGTGCCTTCAGGAGATCCCGAAGTGGACCAGTGGGCGCACACTTTGTGACACGAGGTATGTTGTACATAGCAGCCGTAGCAAGAAGCCCGAACTTGCCGGGGTGAGTGGGTTCGATTGTGGCGTCTTGGTGTTAGGAAGCTTGAATCGGAATGTGAGGGGCAAGAGGTGCGACACATTTTGGGGTGGCCCTGTTCTGGCACGAGGCCCTGGCAGTCAATCGTTAGTTTTAAGTGCGCGTTTCATACATGAAAATGAGAATGTGGGAGAGTATGAGGCAAGGGATTCTGCTGACGAGGTGCGGGAGGAGACAGTGGCATCTTGGAGGGACTGTCAGAAACGGCTTGGGCGAGGTCTACGCGTGGCTCGTGACGCTTCCAGGAAACATGCAGGGCGCTATTGGAGAAGCTGTGCTGAGCCCTCTCCGCTCCCGCGCAGTACGAAGGCAGCGCCGGATCACTCCTCGGACGGAGGTGTTGGGAATGCGAGCGGTCAGCGCACGTGGCGCC